CATCATCATCATCATCATCATCATCATCATCATCATCATCATCATTATTATTATTATTATTATATAATAGACTGCTTACAATGTACACACGCCAGTGTTTACGCTGTAGTTCTACATTTCAAAGTTATCATTTCAATGAAACCAAAACACAACTCACACCATAATAATGGCAACTGACATGGTAATCCTGCTAAAATACATGGGAAAAGCCCATTGAGGGGCAAACGAACTTGGGGTTAGGTCTCGATGAATTCGGAGAGGAAAATGGACATTGCCAATGGACTTGGCTCTCATTGGTATGCTCAAGAGGGCAGTGACTTTTTGAGTCTGCTTTTATCTATGGTTCCTGATAAAATACATGGAAAAAACCCATTGGGGTGACAGGCAAAGCCACATAAGGTTAGGGTTAGGTCTCCATGAAATCGGGGAGCAAAATGGACATCGCCAATGGATTCAGAGAGCAAAGGTCTGCTTAGGAGGGAGCTGAATTTCCAAGCCTGCCTTATCTGTATTGTCTGGAAAAACACATGGGAAAACCACTTAGGGTTAGGTCTCCATGAATTCGGAGAGCAAAATGGACATTGCCAATGGATTCGGTGTGCATGAGTATGCTTAGGGGGAGCGCTGACCTTTCAAGCCTGCCTTATCTACCTTTCCTGGTAAAATACTTAGGAAAATCCCATTGGAGGGCAGATCCATTTAGGGCAGTGATGGCGAACCTTTTAGAGACCGAGGGCCCAAACTGCAACCCAAACCCCACTTATTTATCGTCGGGTGCCAGGTGGGCGTGGCCCACTGGGTGGGCGTGGCTGTGGTGGTCATGGCAGACTGGGTGAGTGTGGTCACCACGATGTTGCTCGTGGAGAGGGATGCCTGTGGGGGCCGGGCAGGATTGGGGGAGATCCAGGGGGTCTCTGGCAGGTGGGGCGGTGGGCAGGAGGCTCATCCTGCGAGGTGAGGCGAGGCAAGACGAGGCAGGGCAGGGGTGCCATTGTGGCAAGGCAAGGCAGGGGTTGGGGTGGCTGCTGCCTGATACCACTGCCCCCCCCTGCACACAGAGACCAGCGAGCACATGGGTGCTGGGATGCATCCGGCCACATGGGACCTTGGCGACTTAGCAGGTGGCTGGTTGAAGAGGGACGGTTGCCATCTCCAGGGCATGGCGCTCGTGCCCACAGAGAGGGCTCTGAGTGCCGCCTCTGGCACGCGTGCCATAGGTTCGCCACCACTGATTTAGGGGATTAATCTATTCATTTATTGGCAGGCTCCCTCCTGAAACTTGAAGGGAGATTTTTTTTAAAAAAAATAAAAAATAAATAAATTATACATCTTATCAATTTTCTGGAAGACTGATATTTTAAATAGTGTTTTTAACTGAACATTTTCAAGCTTCTAATTGTAAAGACTGGAGGGATGAATGGCCTGTAAACTCTCCCTCATTATGGGCAAAAAAATGCAAAGGATCTTTATCGCTCAGGACTGGACGGGCGGCCTCTTACAATATTGCTTTTCTGCTCTTTGTTAGTCAGCCCGTTGGGATTCTCACTGATACACAGGGAGTGACCCTAGCAATTCCAGTAGGTTTACTTTAAGTAGGAAATTCTGGTAGGTTTGCTTTAAATAATCTCCTGGATAAAAATTGTGGTAAAGTAGGTGTGTCCTACCAACAACTGTTTAGCTCATATAGGACCCATTTGGGGTCAGCCAGGAAAACTCTGCTCAGAGGGACTTGAACATCCAACTTTTTTCCATCAGTGGAGCCTGCTAAATGCTATTCTCTGGGCCTTATCAATTGTTGTAGTGTCAGAGTTAGAAGACAACCAAGTTTGGCTGCCTTCTGAAACGGTCTTCCTAATTTAGCTCACTAAGAGATAAGCTCTTGAGATATAGGCTGAACCTACCCTCAGCACCATCTTGACAGACTTTGTTCTTCAGGGAGAAACTCAAGATGGTGAGTAAAGACCTCCTATCCATCGTTGCTCTATTGAATTCCTTGCAGCGGTGAGTTTTGGCTGAATACTTCTCTCTCTGTCTTTTTCTATCTGAGTACCACATCAACTTTTAGCTGAGGAATCTACATACATTTTTTTTTAGCCCTTAGGGTGAACAAGCAGTTGTTGGGCATTTATGCATGCAAAAAAAAAAAAAGAGCAAGGATTCATGATCCAATCTTGTTGGAAAGATCTCATATTTCAGTGAGGGTTGAACATAGCTGTCGTTATCCAGCTCTTGGTGCCACTGTTAAAAAAAAGCAAGGCAATTGTAGAAAGCCTCTGAATAATTATCTGTATCAGAATGAACCAAAGTAAAAATTGTGCCATGTTTTAAGGCATAGTCTGCCTCTGCTTTAACCGCTTCCAGGGATAATCCTGATTTTTTTGAAAGCTGTTTTGTTTTGGTATTTGGATTGTTTGGATTCTTTGCTTTGCATGGGGACACCGTGAAAAAGAAGGGTTGATGGAAGCAAAGAAAGGGCTTTTTTGTAATGGGTAGGGTTCTCTCTCTTTCTCTCTCCCATCCATCCATCCATCCATTCATCCATCGAATCTACAGAGGGTACAGGAATTGAGAATGTCAGAAATGTGATGTATCTTATTTCTTTCATGCTTTACAAGAATGTAGGAGCTTATTCATCTGTTTGGTTGCTCTATGGCAGCGTTTCTTAAAATGCGGTCCTAGGTCTCTTACAGATCCCCCAAAACAGTTTCAGAGCTCCTCACAATGTTTGCCAGATATGGAAGAT